TCCCTTACTAGATTCCATAATTTGATCTGTAACCCTGAAGAAGACAAACTCAACCAGGATATTGACTATTAATTACAATGCTACCCAACCTCATAGAGAATTTTCCCAATCAGGATATTGACCTGTCTTTTTGAACCTGCTCTAAGATTTCTGATAATTGTATAAGTTAGGACCTAGACATTTCCAGAAGTTGACTTTGATCAATAACTATCTAGAAGAAATAAATATACTAGTAACAAGTAAATTTATGCTAAACAAGCCATGATTAGGAACCAGAGTAACAAAACTAGATGAACATCACAACTCTATTAGGGTAATTTAAAAAGAATTTCAGTTTAATTAGTTATCTTACTTCGTCAGTTTTTAAAATGCATGGAATTTCTTCTTATTATAGTATATAAGTAAAGTAGTAGTATAGTTATTTAGTTTTTTATAACAAAGTAATGCTGACATGTTTCCTACACAATTTATATTACTTTCTTAAAAGTAAGAACACTTTTTGCAAGATGTTAGGTATTGAAAATTCTTGATTTTGGGCGTTAAGGAAGGATGCCTTGTATTGTTTTGCAGAATGATTATTTTATGTCTCTGTGTTTATTATATATTAAGAACATCATGTGCTTTAAGTTGGTGTAAAATTTATTAAGATACCTTACTTAAATATTTTTTTATAATTTTTTGAAAAAGGATGAAATTTCTAATTTTTATAAACTGACCTTGCTGAATCTGGTCTCGCTAATTACTTTCTTTATTAATTCTTTACCTGCTTATTTTATATTAACATGGTTTGAATTTCCTTTCTTAGAACATTTATATTATTAATGTGGCTTAATTAGTTTATTTTATATGATTTTTTAAAAATGACTGTAAATTAACTTTTTGTCTCCCTTTTCGTACTTCGGTAAAATTGTGCTTTGGCTCATTTTTATGTGAATAAATTTTCTATTTATATCTGTCTGACTACCTTGAAAAAAATTGGGTTTGCTATTTGTATTACTGGCTGTGTGTGCAAGAAATTTGAGAGTTCTAACTTAGTTATTGTAGAAGTTAGTAGGGGTCTCAAATAGACCCTTTACTGTTCAAAAAGCGAACGCATTTTTTTAGTTTTAAAAAATTCATAACTTTTTAAAAAATGGACATACATCAATAAATTTGGTGTTTCTGTTCTGATGAAAACAGTCTCTATCAGGTGGAAGTGTTAAATTTTATTTAATTTCATTATAAAAATTTCATTTTGAATACCTAGTTAAAGTAGGATATAAATTTTAATTAAATTGCATATTTTACCATTCCACCCAATGGGGTGGTGGATGTGCTCAGCGGGGGGGGGGGGGGGGGGGGGGGGGGGAGGGGGGGCAGTGCCGTGAAGACGCCTGAAAGAAACACTGGTAGTGAGGATGTGAGATAGACCCAAAATACCATTATGAAAAGGTTTCTGAGCGTGGCAACCAAAAGACAAAACGTAATGACAAAACGTTGAAAGGATTCGCGTAGCTAATAATAATAATTATCACTCCTATTTGTAGGAAACAAATGGATTAACTCAATGATGGGTCATACAAAAGTCAGGTAACGGGGTTTTTTTTTTACCTGTTGTACAACATACGTAATGACCTCGAACAGTAACTAAGCAACGACAGAACTCACACAGCGGTCTAGTTGGTTCTCGTTAGACACCGCGATGTATCGCAGACTGCGAGAACTCATCTACAGGTTGCATACCAAAGCTTGTCGCAACCAGGGGAAGATAATGTGAAGTTATTTTATTCCAGGTAATGTATAGCAAGGATTACCTGGATCAAAGGTTTTTATTCCTTGCAATACATAACACTGATAGGCCAGTCTTCTTGTGTTGGAGTGGTTTGTCTATTTGTAAATCATAAAATAAAATTGCGCAATGCTGTTTTGTAGGATGCTAGCTAGTGTGAATTTACTGAAATCTAAGCAGTTACCACGCCTAGTGAAGGAACAGCCACGCCTAGTGAAGGAACAGCCTGTAGGCCACGCCTAGTGAAGGAACAGCCACGCCTAGTGAAGGAACAGCCTGTAGGCCACGCCTAGTGAAGGAACAGCCCGTAGGCCACGCCTAGTGAAGGCAGAGTTTCTTTCAGGCATGAAATAGAATTTATATAGAAAATATATAGCCTACTTCCCATCTAAAACAACTGTAGAGTAAAGTTGGATGATTATTTAAGTCAATAAATGTAATGATAAAGACCAACAAATACATGAGATATGTCAACAATAAATTTATTTTAAGGTCAAAAAGTATAGAGTTAGTTCATGTATTAAACATGCAGTTAGTTTGGTAAAGGTTGAATTGTTACAACTCATACAAAAGTTGTAGGCTGTGAAAAATTGAATAGTTACAACTCATACAAAAGTTGTAGGCTGTGAAATGTTGCATTGTTACAACTCATACAAAAGTTGTTGCATTGTTACAATTTGCAGACCAGAAAAATATAAAAGTGCTCCAAATTATGTCTCTACACTTCTCTTCATGAAAGTGCTACCATCTTAGTACAGTTTGCAGCAGTTTAAAAATGTTAAGAGGTTTTTTGTTATCCTCTGTAAATAACCTTTTAGCATTGCTACATCAACACAAAAAAGCTCTGTAAAAATTCAATGATTAGCTTTTAAAAGTTTACTGGATCAGTTCAGCAAGAAAATATATGAACCCCATTGTTCCCTGTGTATAAAAAAAATGTTTTCAGATAAAAATCTCCCTTGAAAGAACCAGAACAAGACTGAATGCACTTAACCTTCAACGTAAAAATCTCAAGTCCTACACTAACAAAACCACCTTGACCTAATGATAAGAAAGCATAAAAAATAATAAAGAACAAATATTGTCCCAAGTGAAACAAAGTAACAAAAGTCTAGCCATTGAGTCCCTTGTTATTTACATAGATAGATAACCCAAGCTTGGTCATTAGTATAAAATCTAGGGGAAAAAACCTACATCAAGATTACCACACTTAAAGTATTGTCCAAGTAGTAATGCCAATCAATGATGAGATGAAATATTTACTTTGGTTGATTGATTTTAAATATATAAATCAGAGATGTTGCAATACAGTCATACTTTTTATTTTAACAATAATTTTTAACACTCCTAAAGTTATACTAAATTTGGTTGCTTTAATGTACTTTGGTGAATCATTGTTCCATTGTTATTATTTGTCTAATTTTAATACACTGTTCCATACTACAGAAAATTTTTTTTTAAATTTTACTTCTGATAAAACTAAAAATTATAACTATAAACATAAGATGATCTAACCTTGTTTGGTGGGGGGGGGGGGGGGGGTTGCTAGATACATATAAATATATATTTAGCAAATAGCTTTTCAAATAACATTCAAAAGTATTAGGAACAAAACACTGACATGAATAGAAAAATTACAATAGAAAAATTAGCTCACATTTGATAAGTTCCATATTTTCCCCAAAATATTAGATTTGCCTATGACTACAAACATTATATTATCAAATGGCCTGTCCTAAGAACAAAAGTATAAAGCTAACAATGTTGCCTACAACTACAAACATTATGTTATCAAATGGCCTGTCCTAAGAACAAAAGTATAAAGCTAACAATGTTGCCTACAACTACAAACATTATGTTATCAAATGGCCTGTCCTAAGAACAAAAGTATAAAGCTAACAATGTTGCCTACAACTACAAACATTATGTTATCAAATGGCCTGTCCTAAGAACAAAAGTATAAAGCTAACAATGTTGCCTACTTTAAGAGAAACCAATAAGCTGGAGAACGTACACTCATGTTTACATATTAGGGGGACATACCAATCCAAAAGTTTTTTTCCCAAATTATTATATCCCATCATGGATATTCTAAAAATGTGCCCCTTTCATTTTATTTTTTGTCATTTTACACATTCAGGTTTTTAAAGATATATTTTGCAGTTCTACACCTACAAAATTTAAAGATATATTTTGCAGTTCTACACCTACAAAATAAACTAGCTCAAAGTTGGGTGAATTCAATGAATATAAAGTGTAATTTTGGTTACAGCTGCTGTTATGTTTTAAACACATTACTTTCAGCTACATCATTCACAACAAACAAACAAAACTATTTGGCTAGAGAAGCACATAGGCAAAATGTTAATGCTGAAAGTGGGAATGCTCTAATCATGTTATGGTATGCAGCTACAACCCTTGTGTTATTAGAGACTCACAGTATATATCAATGTGAGATCCTTGATGTATCAAGACCAACAATATAGAATGTGAGACCCACAACATATATCAATGTGAGACCCACAACATATATCAATGTGAGATCCACAACATATATCAATGTGAGACCCACAACATATATCAATGTGAGACCCACAATATTCATGTGAGATCCACAATATATATCAATGTGAGAGCCACAATGTATCAATGTGAGACCCACAATATTCATGTAAGATCCACAATATATATCAATGTGAGACCCACAATATTCATGTGAGATCCACAATATATATCAATGTGAGACCTACAACATATATCAATGTGAGACCCACAACATATATCAATGTGAGACCCACAACATATATCAATGTGAGACCCACAATATTCATGTGAGATCCACAATATATATCAATGTGAGACCCACAACATATATCAATGTGAGACCCACAATATTCATGTGAGACCCACAATATATATCAATGTGAGAGCCACAATGTATCAATGTGAGACCCACAATACATATATGTCAGACCTACAATGCACCCATGTGAGACTCACAATATATCAATGTGAGATCCAATATATATAATGTGAGACTCACAATATATCAATGTGAGATCCAATATATATAATGTGAGACTCACAATATATCAATGTGAGATCCAATATATATAATGTGAGACTCACAATATATCAATGTGAGATCCAATATATATAATGTGAGACTCACAATATATCAATGTGAGATCCACAATATATAATGTGAGACTCACAATATATATCAATGTGAGACCAACAATATATATCAATGTGGGTCCCACAATATATCAATGTGAGACCCACAAAACACTGATACAGGAGACCCATTAACAAAAGCCAAGCTAACATCCAAACAAGTTAATACTGGTAAATATTCAGGTATTGGGTGGTAACAAATGAAGGCACTGACATGTAAAAAACAGGGTGCTTAAATCAAAAGTAAATGGCTATTCACAAGAAAAAATGTTAGTTGGGTGCAGAAATTAAATTAATTTTTGATATTTTTATTACAGGTGTCCACAAACATGAATATAATTTTGGCAAAATAAATTTTTGCTTCAGCAGATATAAAAAAAATTTAGCAGCTTTACAATCATACAGACTAAATTTTGTTTTTAAAGTATGTGAGAATCACAGTTTAGATAATATACATTTTTGTGCTGTTTAAATCAGGATTTATGAGCAGAAAAAATTCTTAACATATCACACTTTAATACATTAACAATGAATGGCAATCAGTTCCAATATTGTAAATATTAGCATTGAGTAAGTTTAGAAAAAAATGAACACAAAATATTGGTATGATTTTTCAGGTCTTGGTCTCAATTTATTGAGCAAACTGTTTTGTTTTTACTAAAAGTAAAACTTGATACATTCTAAGGGAATGGAAAGACAAGATTTGAAAGTTGTAGAAGAGTTGGCAAGAAAATATTGCAGCTAAAATGTTGACATAAGCAGGCTATACAAAGTAGAATATCAAATCCTAAGCAATTTAACAAACAGAATTTTTAAAAAAATTTATGAGTATTTATTGATTTAAAAATATAAGCTAAGTATGTTAACAATATTTTGGGTAAAATTTCATGCGAGGTAAGTCAAAAAGCTGTCCCAGTGAGTTAAGGTAATGAGTCACTAAATCAGTATGATGTTGTAGGAAGCAAACCCATCAGGTTAGTATAGGAGCTAGCAGCCAGAACCATAGCCAGCTACAGTACCAGCAATAATTAAATGCTCTATGCTCAAGCTAATAGGACTTCTTTAAATATTTACACTTTTGTTTTCATGTTTCTCTAGCTTTAGACTGAACTAAAATAGAATCAATTCATAACATGGCTGAACACTCATTAAAATACTAATGATGAAGATATGTAAGTTTCAAGAGATAAATATGTTAAGGCACATACAACATATTGTTATCAAAGTTAAAACTAATATCATAAAAATTGCTGGAAGAAAAATTAATTAAATGAGAGAAAAGGTTTTTTTTTTAAAAATGAGTAAAATACATCCCCAATGAAGGTTAAAAAAAGCAAGTATGGACAAAGAATTGTTTAAAAAAAACCTTTTCCATTAAAATTACATCATGATGACTTCATTAATAATTTAATTAGCAAAGATAGATTTCCACATACAATGAAGTGGTTTATCTTTTCAATCAATGCTGGAATGTTCAATCCCAATAAATTACTAGCAGCAAAAATGCTGACAAGAAAATTATATTTTAAATGTCTTGAGCTGCTTATTAAATAAGATATGTTGTAAACTATATTATGCTAAATTAAATACAGTATTTTAAAATATTTTTTATTATTAAATCTTCATTAACAAAGATAAATGATTGTATGATTTGAGTATTAATTCAATTTGAGTGGAATAATTTTAGAAATGGCTGTTTTTTTTTTCCCAAACTGCTTCGCTGTCTACCATAACTTATACGAGAAATGTAGACTTACTCTTCATAATGTGGGTATAATAGAAAGATGTGGTTCAAAACATTCAAACAGTCCTGTTTTTAATCTCTTACAATTTATTTTCTGGATGTTTAGTGAAGTTATAGTAGTCAAATCCATAAATATTTTAGCATGGCCAGGGAGGGTGGGTTCAGACTTTTGAGATATGGAATAATGAGGCCAGGTCAGTACATTATTGGGGTGGGATCTCACTTTTTGTGACATCATGTATGGAGGATTCCATAATCTAAATTGTTGGGTTAATGTTTGTACCTACCATTACAAGTGAATATCATTTATTATTCATATTAGATAGTTTGACATTAGGGTAAAAACATTTTTGTATTTCAGTATTTAGATGTGCGTTGACAGCCATTACAGTGATGTGTACAAATAAGATGTTTTGTTACTTAAAAATTATTTTGAACCAAGCAAGTTATCAATTTTCCAATACACTATTTATAATTAACAGATTTACAAAGCATTTTCACTAGCGACACAAATAATATACATTTTTAGAAGAAAAAACTTGCAATAAGTTAATATTGTACGAAAACATTTTTCTCACAGAACACGTATACTTGGTTTTAGACATGTATAGTATTAGTATACATGTTGCAAATGTAAATGTGGTGTAAGAACACATACAAGCTAAACTGCAAATAACCTACCACCAGAACTATAAAAACAAATGTCATGATACAGAAACTTCTGAGAGAACTATATAAAAAAACTATTGTCTACCTTTATAAATTCTGCAGTAACAGAATGCCCCCATGAATACTAGGCAAAAATTTAAAAAATACTGTTTACATCAACAATCTTACCATGGACGCTGTGTTGGGAAACTGCAGCCACAATGTTCCACTCATCTTTAAATTACTAGACCACTAGATGACCACTGGCTAGACATGCCATCCTTGTCTTTAAAGTTTGACTTGATCATTTTCTTGAAATGTTAGCCACACTTTGATCAGAATTAAATTTGCAATGTGTACATCACATCACAAATAAAACTTCATGTTGCTACTTATTTCAATAAAACCAAACATTTCATATTTAGTACTTGTTAAGTTCCCGCACTTGTCTTACCAGTCCCTTGTCTGTTCTTGTAACAAAAAATGGCAAGTCAGAACCGCTGTTACCATAGTAACACGATTTACATAGTTTTTAAATAATTGGCCAATATACACCAGTGTGTGAAACATGTTGTGGCTTCAGCTAAACCCTACAGCCAATGAAAAATAGGTCAGACACCTACATCAAACAACAGTATACAATAAAAACAAAACTCAATGTAGAGGAGAGTCCTCATTGAACTGCCCATACTTTGACTGATACTTGCCGAGCAGTTCTTTAGCCTCTGACAACTGCGAGATAGTACGGAGGTGGGAGCTTTTCTCCAGAGCTAAGTTTTTCTCCAGCTCCTGTTTTTGCGAGTTAAACTCAACTTGCATTGTCTCAATCCTACGCTCGTACTTCTCCTTCATGTCCGTCAGCTGGTTTTTCAAGGCATTCACCTGCTCCTTGTACCTGTCTCTTTTCATGGTCAGCTCCTCTTTCAATGCTGTAACTTGGATGCGCAGTTCGTTTGTAGTAGGCCCCACCTTTCCATCTTCTTCATAAACTTTAAGACAAGGTGCCTCTTTTTCTGGGACAATTTCTTTTAAATTCCCAGCAGAGCCGTTGAGCGCAGGTGCCAGACTTAGGTTGGATGCGTCTGGGCTTTTTTTAGTTAACGACGGACTAGAAATATTTGCATTGCTGGGAACGTTTGCTAATGCCATCATGACGTCATCTGGATTTAAAACAGCTGGGCTGATAGGAGACCTCTCACCGTCTACATCCCTACGTTCAACATTTCTATTTCTTAAAACTCTAGACTTTCTCCTGGGGGGTATGGGAGGGTTACCGTCCCTGAGATTGATGGAGCCGGGATCAGACGAGTCATGCGGCTCAGGGATCCTCAGCTGCAGTTTTTTACTTCTAATTACAACATCATCTATATCAGACTGGCTAAAAAACACATTGTCATTAGAATCAACATCTTCTCCAGTGTCCTTCACTGCACAAGAATTAGCTAAATGGTAATCATCACTGACACTTAAAGAACTGTGAGAACCCCTGCCACTACTAGGGGTCGGGGACGATGTAGAGTTCAGGTTCAAGTTCAGGCCTAGAAGATCAGGGCGAATAAATGGTCTGTCTGGGATAACGGATGGAATGTCAAGGACACGGGACATCCTAAGGAGGTCACCAGTGGGGACGTTGTTGGCAGTATCCCCCTTGTCACTGTACTCCAGCATAAACACCTGCAGAGAGAAATCACGTCTAAAACATCTTGTTCACTGTTTGATGAGTGTTATCATGTGTGTTTTTTATCAGGGTATTTTGGTGAGAATGAATCTTGGTTGTGATTATTATTGAATGTATGAAGGCATATTAAAGAAAGACTTGTGATGTAGAAACTGTGTTGCTGTGGAGAGCAAGTAAGTTAGTTCGGTCTATACTTTGATTTGAGAAGGAGTCTGTGTCTTGTCCCAACCATATAAATCGTCTTTGAGTTGATGTTATTTAAGAGTATAAATAAACCTGAAGTGGAAATGTACTAGGGCTTCTGTGAAGCTCATGCAATCCTGTTAGTGAATTAGTGATGAGTTTCGAGAAGGTACATCAGTAGTGAAATTATCACAGTGTTTGGTCCACACACAGCTCAAACATATGGTTTGCTGCTCACTACTAGCAAGATATATACTTAAACTACCATACTTAAAGCATTTGGATATCAATAACAATGATAGCCTTTCAAACTTAACTTTACACAGCAGCTGCATTTTAGTGTACTGCTTTAGGTCATTCCTAAATTACTAAATACAGGATTACTGTCGAGGCTTTAATTTTTAGCACAGAAAAAATTGTAATTTTCTTTTTAGATTAACTATCAACATGGTCAATCACTGAGTTAGTTATGAAAGATAAAGATAACTTATATAATTTATAGTAGGTTCCTAAAGGCCATTGCGATATAGCAACAGGGTTTACATTTATATTAATCCCTAAATATTGGGCTACTGTTCATTACCAATTTTTTTACATTTACTTTGTTAGTAATGATACTATTCCAGCCTAAAAATAGGTCTTTAAAACATATAACTGAATCTAACTTTTAGTGTCTCGTAGAATGTATTCATGGAATAATAACGTACAGCAAATTTTCAATTGTATTTATTGTTCATTATAAAGATATTTATGTTTAATAGATCAATGTTGTTCAACCAAGTTTATTATCACTGAGTTATAGAAGGAGAACATGAATAACTTTAAGGGTTAAATTAGAAATAAAAAAATTACCTTAGGAAAATATTCCAACAACATGTACACCAGGTTCTGCCCCAGGTCTGCAGTACACAGAAATAGCTGCGAGTTTTCCTTATCGATGTGCCGAATTATATTGTAACCAAAAACAGTTCCTAAACTCATCATGGACATCTTATTGGAAGCTTCACGTAGGCCAACCTGATGTCATTTTAACAATAGTTTACATAAATAACCTCATTTATTTGTTCAGTAATGTATAGATGGCTCTAGAATAACAACAAATTTGATCACTTAGTCTTGTTAAACACTGATACAAGTCTTCATGCCTGCATTAGTCAAGGTATAGGATCTCAAAGTCCTTAATTTTATAAAACAGCAAAACATAAATTTTACAATGACTTCCAAACTAAGAAACAACCCAATTTATCTTTATGTTTTTCAAAACAACCCTTACCAAACTAAAATTTAAACTTGTTAAAGTTATCCTAAATAATCTTAACACTTAGAACATTGATCTTTCTAAGACATTATCTCTTTAGGAAAGCAATAGCTATTTAGGTATGATACTATATTATCAAATGCACCAACTTCTCTAAGAAAGTGACATTTTCAAATACGACATAGTTGTCTAAAGCACCCACCTCTCTAAGAAAGCGACAGACATACTTAAGTATGAATTAGTTGTCTAAAGCACCTACCTCTCTAAGAAAGCGACAGACATACTTAAGCATGAATTAGTTGTCTAAAGCACCTACCTCTCTAAGAAAGCGACAGACATACTTAAGTATGACATAGTTATCCTCAGGTATCAACTTCATACACTCGGCCAACTCATCTGTACACTTGGCCTTGACCTCAGCATCAGACGAGTCCATGAACCGTAGCGCTATGTTCATCACCTTCTGGTAGAACTTGCAGGGTATGATGGAATCAGGGAGGTCTCTCAAGAAAGTTTTAAGCACTGAGGCCACCACGTGAACATCAACACTCTCATCCTCAAACCTGATTTTCTCGCCCCTCTCAAACCTGGCAATGATGTCTTTAATTGCAGACTGGCGCCCAGGCAACCTGTGTCGATTGTGAAATTTTGTTTGTACATTAAATTAATACAGCAACAAAAATATACTAGTAAAACAGACTGTGTTACATTATAGTAAGAAGATAATGTTTTAGCTATTTTGTAAATAAAAATAAAACTTGTATTATTTAAAATGGGAAGACGACAGGGATGTTTGGTTGGATTGCATGCAGATACTCAATGTTTCTTAGTTTCAAGATTAAAACTGTAATGTACACAGGAGTAAAAAAAAAAATCAGTACACTTAGTCCACTTTATTAGTAGAGCAATAATTAAAGGGAGGTAACAATGTTAACATTTCAGTGGCTTTTTTATTATTACTTTGACTTATTTAAAAATAAAAAATCAAAGTTAAATTTGCTGTAGTCAACAATGTAGTGGGTAGTCACAATAAACTAACACCAAAACTAGTCACATGTGATGATATAAATGTATCATTTTGACATTTTTATATTGTAGTGAATATTTTGTTTAAAAGTAACATTAAATAACTAGTATAATGAGTTTTTTACATTATTTTCTCTCAATAGAAACTTTAAAAGGTTGGCCTACTCAATAAATTAAAAATTCACTTTTGAAATAATTTTTTCTTTTAAATTTTGAAGCAAAATTTTAATGACATAAACAGATCAATAAGTCAAAATATTACACAGTAACATGTACTAACAATGCCAGATTGAGAAATAAAATATTGGAAAGATTATCATAGATATGTTTGGGTTTTTAGTAATTAACATAAGAGTATAATTTGTTGCTATGGTACTTAATTTGTGAACTACCTGAAAATCCCTTCAACATCAAGCCCATACTTGTACAAGTACTCTACACATTCATCCACAATGTAAGGTATTCTCCTGTTTTCTGCTCGCTCCCAGTATAAAATTTCTTGCAAACTTTGACTAAACAAAGCTGTTACAAAAAAAAATTGAGAAGATATAGACAAAACAAGTTGCATCAATTATATGAAGTTATAAGTAAGGTACTTTAATAATTATTTTAATTAAGTTTATGCATTATAAAAGTCTACAGCAATGGTTAACTTTACAACATTATGTATCTAATTAAAAAGGTTTTATTTTAAAAACAGTACCTCCACCCTTATCAGCATAAAGTGCTCTTTTTAAAGCACGCACCCATATTTTCTTTTCTTCTTCAGTTTCTGCACACAAGGAAATGACATCTACTTGATTTTTGTCAACCCCTGTTGAGATATTATTAATTTATTATTCATCTTATTTAAAGCATTATCAAAAAAACTCAGATATTATCAACCATAGTATTTATTCAACCAATAAGTATTCCAAGGTGTGATTTTTTTAAAATACTTACCACTATTAGTGCTGACTATGTCAAAATAAAACTTCTTAGGATCATTTGAGTTTTGGTCAATTGCTGGTTCTGTAATAATCTGGCCATCAAGTGATATGCAGTCATTAAACTTTTTGTCTTCATCTCGCAAGTATACAAACAGAAACTTGTCTGACAAAACAAACCATCGACGAGACCAAATATTCATCCGTCCACCTTTTCGTTTTAGCCATCCTTTTAAGTCTTTATCTTTTGGTGGCAGACTCATTTTTAAGACCTTCTCATCTCATTAGTTTCAACTATTGCCATCATATCACCCAGTCTAATGGAAAAACAAATTATTTTTTAAGTTTATTATTTTGTGCATTAAGAATTAACTTCTTAAAGTTACGTATTTTAACCACATATGGATTATCCATTTATGATGTCCACACAGATAGGAAGTCCCAAAAGATTGACTTTTGTGACTACAAAACTTTTTGTCAACCTCCACAACAAGGGAGGGGTTCACTGCAATGGATGGGGAGGGGTCTAAAATTATACATTCTTGTGGACATAATAAATGGGTTGTTTTAGTAATTTTTCCAAGTGTTGAAATATGCAAAATACCTGCTACAGTTCAATTAATTAATTAGTAATTAGTATTAGCTAAGTTACTGAGATCTAGATTCTAGATCTAATCTAGATCTGGAATCTAAATCTAACTCTAGTCACTAGTCTACTAGATCTAGGTCTAGTACTAGATTTATATATAGTATATAGACTAGACTCTAGTGGCTAGTGACGGTAGTGACCAAGTTAAAAACTCCTTTTAAACTTTTTTAACACCAAAAAAAAAAGGATGCCTTCGCATCAGTATACCGTCTACACACGTTCATTTAATAGGACTTTAAACGTTGAATTTTAGACAGATCTACGTTATCAATGAAAATAGATGTCATTGATTTATTATACATTAATGTAGATCTATCAATAATTAATAATTAATTACCTTCCTGACTCCTAGCTAGAACGAAACTAGATCTAAATATAAAGCTCAGTAGTAAAATAGTAGTCAAAGTTAACTTCCGCTTCCTTCCGTGTCCACACCCACTAAAAACCTTTGCCTAGCTAAAGTAAAATTAAAAATCTTATGAAGTTCTGGCTTCAGTATAGAAAAATTAGCTCAAGAATAATATTAACTGTAGAATTTTGAAATTTAGTCAACTAATATTAAATAATGTAAAATCTTTCCTTAATTATATTTTAAACTGTGTTGATTATGTTAAAAAAGCTGGAAAATTTCTAGAATAGATCTTTATCTAGTTAGTAAGCCTTTTGTCATTTATTAACGCGAATATTTTAAATTTATACACTGCATTTCGTTTATATATGTGTCTACATTTTAAATACTTACTAATTCTGCCTGACGATATTTTCACAATCACGTTAATGTAACACATGCAACAAAGCTTATAGTAACAATGAGTCATAATTTTTACCAGAGGTTCTCAGTTCTCACATTTCTAAAGTCAACAATGTCCCTAATTATGGACTGTTTCTTTTAGGGAGGGCTAGATCTAGATCTATCTCTTCCAGAGTTTCTTCCAGGCATCTCTTCGGGGGGGGGGGGGGGCTTTGTAGTAGGTTCAACGTGCCTACTTCTCTGCTTGCATGTTTGAAATAGCATGGGTATTGTATGGGTATGTCCCGGTGTGCTGAAAATTTGAAGTGCGCCACCCCCTCCCCCACCTTACCCTCCCGAGAAAAAAGTCTGAAATAACATAACCTATGTTAATTATATTACACTGTTATTGGCATCCTCGGTACTATTTTTTTAATTAAAATTTTCTTGTTAGAACACGCACAATACAAATCTAAACGTGATTTTTTTAAAATTTGCTAATGTGTTTATTCCGCGATGTCACCTGTGCGGTAACCAGGTGTCATCCCCACCTCCTCCAACAATGTTGGATTTTTAAAATTATAAAACATTGTTCTATTTAGTGTCACCCCCTCATTGGTGTCATCCGGTGCGAACTGCACCCCCGCGCGCCCCGCCTAGTTATACTAATGCTTTTTAAAAAAAAAAAATAGGAATCGTGCTATTAAATCCTATACAGTGGCTTCACTAGATCGGACGACACCTGGTGCAGTAATCGATGCTGTCACTCTGAGCCTAACGATTCATATGGCTGTAGTAAGCTATTAACTTGAAAAAAACATGCTTTCTCATTAAAAATTAGCTATATTTCGTAGACGTTGTTTTCTGGTGCGATATGTGTAACTTTAACACATAAGTTTGGGATAGTCAACCCCTACTTCATTACAAATGGGGCGCAGAGTTTCTTCCAGGCATCTCTTCGGGGGGGGGGGGGGGGCGAACCCCCCCCCCCCCCCGAAATTTTTTTACCGCCCCCCCCCCCCCCCCCCGCCCCCGAACGAAACGAAATTTATATAATTTATATAGAAAATATATACTTTTAACAGTGTCCGCCCCCCCCCCCGAAGAAAGTCTACCGCCCCCCCCCCCCCCCCCCCCGAAAATTTCAAGTGCCCCCCCGGAGAAAAAAGTCTGGAAGAAACACTGATGGGGCGAGTGGCCTAGCGTTAGAGCGCAAGACAGCTAACCCTAAAGTCTCACAAGTTCGAATCCGGGTCCAAGTCAGTAGAACGTCCATGAGTTCACCCAACTCTATTGGGTACCATACTGATAAAGGTACCTAAGGGAAAGCAAAAGCGGCTGGGCATAGTGCTGACCATATTACCCTTTCATGTGCTAAGGTCAAGAAACGTGAACTCTACTTCATCTGCCAATTGGATAGCTACATTTAAAGAGGAATGTTTAATATACTAATTCATACAACTTTATATAGCACGAGCTGACCCGCGGCGTATCATACGCCGCTATTTAGTTGTTTTATTTTCAACTTTCAGTAATCAACTCTACGATTGTAAACATTCGGGGTGAACCTTAGCTCACCAGACTGGTGGGGTGGTGAGGGTAGCTATATGCCTAGAGAGCGGGGGAGTAACGGCGTGCGTTTACATGGTGTCTCGCATGGTCATGAAGAAAATTATATATATATATATATATAGCATTTAAATCTATCGCCACACCTTATTTTTATAATTTTTATATAGATCTAGGCCTAATTAATATAAGCCTAACCACCACCATACTTACATACTTAATCGCCACATCTTATTGTAAATAGGCCTAATATTACCACCACCATACCACTGCCATAATTACATAGGTCGTTGATCGCCACATCTGATTGTATATAGGTCTAATATTACCATCACCCTACTCTCAATAAAACACAATGATACCACCCGCTGTTTTGTATAGCTTTAGTACAATCACTTATTGCGAGCTAACTACTACAATTACTGCGCAAAACGCGCGAACCGTTTTAAATTGATCTTTTTTTACAAAATATCGTGCGTACAGATTGCTAATCTGCCTCACAGATGTGGCAATAATTATACTTTTTTTTTTTTTTTAGCATTGGATAAAACGTAGCTGAGATGGTTGGGGAAACAAGGGGTTGTGTGCGGATTGTGTCGGGCGTCGGGCAGTGGCGTAGCGATGGGGGGCAGGGGGGTACATATGTCCCCGGGCGCCGACCTTAGGGGGCGCCAAAATGGGTTGTAAAAACTAATTAAAACGTTATTTTAGCTGCATTTTTGCATTATAAACAGTTTGAGGGGGGTAAAATTTGAAAATTCGCTCCCGAGGGGGGCGCCAAATTGAAAGTTTGTCCCCGGGCGCTGGGAAGGGTCGCTACGCCTCTGGCGTCGGGTTCGACAATCGGGTGGGGACGATCGAAGCTGCATGAAAATTCGATCTAATTTCCTAAATATCGCCATCTCCTGCTGGAAATTTTTCAAATAAGCTTTACTGTATTATCTACTTTACCAGAGTATCAAAGCGTCGAAAGACTCATTATAATTGCAATTAAATTAAAATATTATAAAATGTAGGCCCCTAGATCTTTTGTAACTGGTCAAATGCTAGTTCTGAAAAATCTGGTCTTCATGTATTTTAAATTTTCAATCAAATATTATTAGAAAGGGGTATAGGACAAAAGGCCGACACGGACAAAAGGCCGATTGTCCGTGTCGGCCTTTTGTCCATGTCGGTCTTTTGTCCGGATCCAATTAGAAAGACAGCAGATCAGGTCAATGGCGATGCCTTGTCCATATGATGTTGCGAGGTGGGCGACGAGTTTGAAAAAGAAAAGAAAAACTGTAAAAACATTTAAGTAAAAAAATTAAACAAATAAACATATACTTTATTTAGTAGACTCAAATTGTTTTAAAAAAAGTTGGTGAATTTAGAAATATTTTCACTACATTTTACGACCAAAGCTTTTTTTTAAAAAATAACTTTAGATCTACCGTTATTAGACTATAGACTAGGGGTCGGCGTGGTCGAGTTGATTAAGCTCATGGTTGCTAAACCGAAACGTTTCGAGTTCGAACCTTCGGGCAGATGAGGCCACTGTTCTAGGAAAGACAAAGGCTATAGAAAGCACATTTCAAAAAGTAAAGCAGTCCTCAATGGCGCATAACCAGTTGACACGTATCCTTAATTCTGTTGGAGGGACAACTAAAAAATTAAGAACGAAGAAGAAAGAAGAAAGCTATAGGCTAAAGAAAGTGTAGGCTATATTTCTTTTATTTTTATTTTTGAGGGGAATTTAAAAATTTAAATTTAAAAAAAAAATTAAAACTCGTTAAGTTTTCTCCTTTGTAGTAGACCTATTTGGATATCAAAAAGATCTATGGGTAAGCTTTAAAAAACAATATTTAGGCCTTCTATATTTTTCTTTCCAACCAGCATGACAACCCTCGTTGTTTAAACAAGCTAGCCATAGATATATACCAGATTGACTTATTCGCGCCTTTGTAATTGGTCTTGTTTCAAAGAGTTGTAAACCCTCAACATGAAAATTAACGAGTTACCGTTCCTATTATGTTATCTCCCCTTGGTGTTTTATATAATAACCTTTAGACTCATTTTAACGACTTATTTTATCTTTGTTATTTTAACGTGTTAGATTGAAAATTTGATATTCTTGCGTTTTTAATAAAGATGTAGGCCTATATGAATAGTTTTTAAAAAATTGATCCACTAGATATGGTTAAAGATTTTACCTCAAACACACAAACAAACAAATGTAATTGAATGTAAAGCTTAAAATAATCGACCCTGCGGTTGGGAATGTAATTCTCAAGTCACTAAAGAGCACTGCGATATTTATAGGGCCCTACTTACATTTTATAGTAGACATGACGGCAAAACGTTGCACAGCCAACAGTAGATGCAGGAGAACCCCCTAGAAGACAGAATCTTTGATCAGCAGGAAAGAGCAGTTCCACAGAAGTAAGGTCAATGGCTATATATTTGATCAGCGGTACGTCAGTCTTTCATTAAGTGAGTCATCCACTTAAAGACGTCCACGCTGATGCAGGACGGGAGGGGGCAAAAAATCGGACATGTGGAGTGCGGACTAGTAGTAGAGTGGGGATTAAGCTTGAATGGGGCCACTGCGTGAACATTTTTAGGGATCCTACGAGTATTCTGTCACTAAATTTATTTTAGGGATCCTGCGAGTATTCTGTCACTAACTTTATTGTAGCACATACTAAGTTAGTGAGACAGCGTTGATTATGGCAAATAAAATAATAGAATTATTTAGTGGTATTCTTTTTCAGGCCATGATGTCTCGTATGGCTTCTGAGTTCACACACACACACACACACACACACACACACATAGGCATATATATATATATATAAATATATATATATATGTGTGTGTGTATGTGTGTGTGTATGTATGCATAAGCTATATATACATATATATAAAGTATATATAGGCTATATATATATATATATATATATATATATATATATATATATATTACTAAAACATATATACACTAACAGATTTGCATGTCAAAGTAGTTTAAAGCTACAGATTGTAGGTAGATTACGATTTTAACCAGCGAATCACATACTTAAACTTTAGAAGAGCAGTTAAAAGAGTCTTACTGGCAACGGCATATCTGTGAGTACTTCGGCGGATTCCCGTTGTATAGAGAGCTAGTTCTTAGACATTTATGAAAGCTCTATGTTGATCCCAACAGAGATGGTGCACCAGTGGCGTAGCGAGGTCAGGTGTTACCCGGTGCGGCACTTAATGGTGTCACCCCCCCCCCAGAGGCGTTGCGACCCTTCCCGGGGACAAACTTTCAAATTTTCGATTTGTACCCCCCCCCCCTCATACTTTCGATCTGCACCCCACCCCTCAAATTTGTCTCTATATATTTTGCTATTTTTTGCCTTGGTGTCACCCCTTATTTATTTATTTTACTTACGGGGGGGGGGGTGACACCATTAGGTGCCGCACCGGTTGAAACCCAACCTCGCTACGCCACTGGCCTACTATACGACATGTTCTGTGAAACAACGGTCTATTGACAAACACTGATGAACACACAGAAATATACTTTACATTCCTCTCTCCCCGAATTCTGCGCTTCCCTATCTCCTATGTTCCCCCCCCCCCCTCCCTTCCCCAACAACAAATATGTGTGTTTTGATAGTTAAACGGACTTCCCTTTTTCATCGAACAAAAATAAAACGTATTAAAAAAAATTGAAATTCTGTTAAAATATTTTTTTTAAAACCATAAATGTTAAAAAAAAGGCCTGCTGTTGTTTGCAATAACGTTTATTCTTGTTTTTTCTACTGGCATATAGACTAGAATCTTCGTGAGGTAGGACCAAATTCGCTAACAGGTTCTTCAAAACAAAATAAAAAATTGATATTAACAATTTTAAAATAAACTTTTTATAATGTAGAGTCGTTTTTATTATATAGATCTATAGATCTAGAAATCTAGATCTAACCCAAGTGCTCTTCACAAGTTATGAAATTCCGATACTATTTTTAAAATAGCGACATGAAAATGAATTAACTGTCTTCACTTCCGTGTGCTTCGTGTGTGGGTGTACACTTTCAGTAATCGGGTGCAAAGAGTCGCGAAAACATCGATTGATGACGTTTATTTTACCCCTTATCAGCTCCTTATATAAAAAAAAATAACTTCGGGTTTTACTGTTGACTATTTAATTATTATTAGAAATTACGAAAGCTTTCAATAAACGTATTTATACACCAGTTGTGTAAAATATATATAAGAAATAAAAATTGTCAAATAAATCAGTCTCGCAGTAAACGATAATCAAAACTACACAACAAATGTTGACGTCAAACTCAACTGTTCCTAAATGATGAGTGAGCGAGTGAAGTTGATAGTACATCTTGTCTGTGACTCATTTTAATTGATTTTTCGCTTATTTAATTTGTCCTTCAGTTAAGATCTTTTCGTAAAACGTGAGTAATTTTTGTTAACTAGATCTAGATAGATCTACATTGTTTTGTTTAATTCATTTTTTTAGAAACTGGACTCTATTGAACCTTCTTTATTCTGATTCATCAATAAAAAAATCGTAAATTAAAGTTTTTAATTTTCTGAAGTTTCTACTCACAAGTTTGTCTGGAAATATCAATATTTTAACCAGCTAATGTAGGCCTAGGTGATTATCTATTTATTATTAATAGTATTAGCGATAATAAGTCTAGAATATAATCTTTGAAACGAAAATAGATGACAATATTCTGAAACATGCACACGACACCATTTACTTCACCCTCTCTCAGTTCAGTACACCACTTCTGCTCCAAAGTACTCCATATTTTTATTGATTATATTTTAGAAACTCTGTTTTCACTATTAAAAATGCTAGATTTTAGATCTAGTTTTCTAGTATCAATGCAAAAAAGGGAGAACATGTCTTGAATAGTTTATCTTCTTTGCATTGTAGATATTTGTAGGCTAATGATTTTAATAAATTGTGTATTAGCCATGAATAGAAATCTAGATTTAGCATTAAAATCAAGATCTACTCTCCTCTAGAATCTAGATCTAGATCTAGATGTAATTCAATAATTCTAAATCTAGAATTCTAGATTAGTTAGGCCTACTGAATCTAGAAATACTGGATCTAGACTAGAATAAATATTCAATAGGCCTACAGTACATTATAATTATAGAAGAATAAAAATCTGGATCTAAAATAATCTAAATTCTAAAATCTAGATCTAGTCTAGAAAATCTAGAATCTAGTAGCTAGGTAGATGTTTAGGTAAGATCTAGATCTAGAAATCTAGATTCTAACTAAATCTTACTAACTTACAAACCAGATCTAGAGTCTATATACTTACATTACAATACATAATGAATAATTATAATAGTAGGAGCCTAATACATTGGCATTGTAGATTAATAATCTTCATTCTACAAATTGTCGATAGTAGGCTATAGCTAGTGTTATTAATATTTATTAGTGTGCCTATAGATTTATAATAGTACACTATAAATATACACTTTCAACACTCAATAGGTAAACCCCAGCTCTAAGTGTTGAAAATAGTGTATATTTTTATGTAGGCCTATAAAATAATGAATATGAATTAGGCAATATTAATATTAACAATTTTCAATGTATCATGCCAGTGTTATTATTCTACACGAGATTTGGGGGTGGGGGGGGAAAGGAGAGATCCCTGAAAGAAACTACATGCATACCACTTTTAAGATTAGACAAATAAATTAGGCGGGGAATGTTAGTGTCTGTATTATCAATTACTGATGACGTCATTATTATTGTGCTTTTTCAGCATGGGCTTTTTGATCCTATGTTTACTCTAGAATCAATTATGTCATTTTATTGTTGAACACATTATTTTGTTTCGTTTTGAAAAGTTCCTTTATGTTCCATTTGACATCACAGTAGTTGGAAGTTACGTTATCCATTTGACTGAAAGTTTTTATAATGCTTGTGTTTTCTCTAGAGCATTCCCGACACATAGACAGACAGAATAGCGTAACTATTATTATGAATTACTTCCTATATTTGTTGCATCATTATCGGCATATAATAGAATAAATACATGTGGGCATGGCTGACCACGTAGTACTACAAAGTTTTTCTGTTGTCTTTGACTGTCCAGGGTGAATCTTCAAATTTTTTTATTAGCTTATACTTATTTAACATTCTTATCTTTGCACCTTTATAATTTTTTTCAGGATTTTTGTGAGAGTAAACCATCATACGACTTAATGGCTGTGTGAAAGAGGAAGTTCTGGTTTATTAACAATTTTATCGTGACAATTTTTTTTTTAAATCACCATCATGAGCAAGCACACAAGTCTCTTCTACACAGTGGAAGTTGGCGATTCAACATTCACTATACTAAAACGTTATCAGCACCTACGACCTATTGGCTCAGGTGCTCAAGGAATTGTTTGGTGAGCAGTTTTTTTTGTTGTTACAAATAATTCCACATTTATATACAGAAAAAAAAACTGTAGATGATGTGCCATTCAGTGATTAAAATTTATTTTATAGTAGTATAACATTCATTTAAAAAATTAATTCTGCAATATTTTGTTATATAAGACAAAATTTGCTTTGATGGTTTCATGCTCCCTTTTTTTGTATAGAAGTCAGCCAAAATCATCTTAAAATGTGTTTTTGAGGGTCAGCACATTGTTAACATCTCAGATGTTTCAATGTGAACATCTGAGTCATTTAGCATAAACTGCTGATTTTAATCATAATGTCAGTAACTAATAACCATTTTGTTAAAGATAAAATACATATTATCCGTTCAAAACTGTTGGTTGTTGAAATAAGTGAAAAAAAAAATTAACACCCCAATCTAATTTTCTTGTTGTAAAATTTGTACCCATGTCAGCTTTTTTTACATGATAATTTTAGACAGTGAAACTGAAGTCTTTAAACCATTTATATAGCAAGACTAATTACATTTATTATTTACAATCAGGTCTAGAATTTAATATATTTACAATTACAGTTGCAAGGCTTTTTTACCTCTCTAATGTTTTTCATTTTTGTTTCAGTGCCGCCTGTGATACACTTACAGATACAAATGTAGCTATTAAAAAGCTCAGCAGACCCTTCCAAAATGTAACTCACGCTAAACGAGCCTACAGGGAATTTGTATTAATGAAACTTGTAAATCACAAAAACGTGAGTATTGTTTTTAGTAATAATTTAAAGAACATTACTCTTGTTTTATATTTACACTTCTATGTTTAAGCATCATCCCTAGACATTTTGCTTGATTGAAGCACATAAAAATAAATAAAATCATATAAAAAACATAAACCTAGTCAGCAGTTGCATGAAAATTTATGTTACATTGATCTGGTTAACAGACAACTAGTCACAGTGTACAAGAGTTTACATGTCTTTACTGTATACTGCAACGGGAACAGGGCATTTCCCCCCTGTCAATTACCCCCCAGAGTAATTACCCCCCCCCCCCCCCCCCCCCCCCCCCCCCCCCCGCCCAGTAGGACATTACCCCCCGGACAGGTTTAGGGTTAGGTTTAGGGTTAGGGTTGTGTCTAGCTTTGGTTTTGGTTTTGTGTGAAGTTTTAGGCTAAGGTGGATGCTTAGGTTTTGGTCTTTTTCTTACGGTTTGGATTAAAGTAGTATATAGGTATAAAATTCTAGTTAGAGTTAGGATTTTAACTTGAGGGGGGGGGGGGGGGGGGAATTATCCAGGGGGGGGGTAATGTCCTGTAGCCTACTGCAACATAGCACTACTTTAAAAAACATATGAAATTAATATGCCTACATTTCTTAGGTTAGTTTCAAAAGCATAAAGTATCTAGTTAAAGGGGGCCATGTAGAAGAAAAGGTTGAAAATCAGGAATTTTTATCTTTATTAGATTTTAATATTTTTAATGTATGAACCAGCTCTGTAGCAAAAAAAATGAATAAATATGTATGTTTCTGAAAAAAATAGTTTTAAAAACATTTTTCTGGCTTCATCTGCCCCTCAACTGTTTATATTACACTTTACTTTTTGTTTTTACTTCATCTGATAATAGTATCTAAACTGCAATATCCGAAATGGAAAGCTGATTCTTCCAGTTTTAGAACATAGCATCTTCCTTTTACAATGACATTCAGACAGATATTATTTAATCACTGAAAAAATATGTTTCTCTGACTTTTTCCCTTAGTCTTGTTATTTTTTACTTTCTCGTCTACTAAGTATAGAAGAAGTATTGTAACTGTAATCGTGCAAAAAAAATGAAATTTAGATTTTCACAAATCTCGGCGTTTTACACCCCTTCCCAAGTCAGAAAAACAAAGTTTTGCTATTTTATCAGTATGAGTCTGTGTATTGTTACAGCTGGGTTGATAAAATTTCATGTATAAGTATCAAATCAAATGAAATTTGTAGTTCTGTATCAATACTTTAGCAATTTCTGGTAACCTGAAGGGGAACTTGCTCTTCATTTTTGTTTTTTGAAAGCCTATAACTATAACAGATAGATAAATGAAATTTCACATATGAATAAAAGGTCTAATTCTCTGCGTTCACTATTATAAGCACATTGTTTGCTGTTCACTTGGTGCGCAATTCTTTTTTTCCGCGAGATTCTATTTTTAAAAGTTTAAGTTTTTAAAAATTGATTAAAAATCAGTCTTTATCTCAAGTTGCCATCCCCTGTAGTGTTATATAATAAGTATATTTGAGAAAGTTTAGGGGAGATCACTCCCGCTTTTTTTGGTCAAGTCACCCTCATTTTACAAAACAAGAATTTTTACTGGTTTCCTGAATCTTGGCATAAAAAAAACCAAATGGTGTGCTTATTTTACATGTTTAGATTAAAACGGCAACTATTTAATGGATGCTGATGAATGAAGGTATAATTTCTAGAAAATGATGTAAAGTAACCAAGCAAAAAGAAAAAAAACAACCTTGTCAATAGTTGTAGAAAATATGCCATTGCATTTGTAACTACAACAATCAGAACCATAGTGTATTGAACTCTTTAAAATAAATGTAGGTGGCAGCGTTTGAAGGAAAGCTCGTGCTGACAAATCTGAATCTACCTGGCAGCTCCCCCTGCGAAATTTACATTTTTGTTCCGCAGAAACCTCTCCAGAAGTTTTCTCAACAACTTCCCAAAGTTTTATGTCGATTGGATGAAAGGTGTATTTCATAAAGGGGACACAGACTTTCTTTTTAAATATATAGATGATACAACTGTTTTAAGATTATTTTTTTTTAATGATGTTTTACACATTTCAACAACTAAGTGGTCAAATGATTGTGTATTAAGTGCATTATTGTTAACTTGCAATGGCAAATCTACATCAAAACTTTATCATATTTAGAATTTTTAGTTCAAATAAGGTATCATTTACACATGTACTTGTCATTTCTCATTCAATCATAAAGATTCAAGATATTTTAGTTCACACTTAAATTTTGTAGTAAAGTGACAGTAAAGAAAACTCTGAATTGGACTATCACTCTAACAAAAATAATTGTTGACTTTAACATAGTAAGTTTCTTGACTATTTCTACCCCTTTCTCCCTCCCTATATCTATAATACTATTAATACACCTGTTTCTTATACCCTGTTGACCAATGGGAAAAAATTTAAAACATAGGGATAAATTCAACTCTCAATCTCACTATCCAGTGGGTTGTAAGCTATTTTCATCCCAGTCCGTATTAGGCATGTCAAGTAAGGTGATACTCCTTCGGGAATATTGGTTATTCAAATTCTCAATTTCACTCGTTCATTAGTAGTATATTAGGTCCCTTTTGATTATTATTTTTGGCGGAGGGGCGCAGGCGCAAAGGTTATATAGTAAAATACTCGGAGGAGCTGCCGCAGCCTGCCGCAAAGACATATAGTAAAATACTACGCCAGCTGCCGCAGGGTGGGTGAGCAGGATGCACCGCAGGCGCAAAGACATATAGTAAAATATTACGCCAACTGGGGTTGGCGGAGGAGTGAAGGGTGAGTCACCTTTTGGTGACCTTGTGACGTAATTAGTAACATTATGACGTAATCATTGACCTAGTTACGTAATTTAATGCGTTTTTTAATTAGTTTGAATTTAATTTTTAAATTTTAATTAATTTTTGACCTAGTTACGTAATTTTATTGTTTTTTAATTAATTTGATTTTAATTACTTTTGTTTGTGTTTTGTTTGTTTATTTTTAATAAGTTTAATTAATTCGATTTTTTTATTTATTTTGTATTTGTTTGATTTTAACTTTTTAATTATTTTTATTTTGTTTATTTTTAATTTAATTATTTTATTTTTAATAAGTTTAATTAATTTGATTTTTATTTATTTTGTATTTAGTTACGTAATTTTAAGTTTATTTTATAATTAGTTTGAATTTTTATTGACTAGTTATGTAATTTAATTACTTTGATTGTTTAATTAGTTTGTTTACTTGTTGTTTAATTTAATTACTTTGTTTATATTGTGTAATTTTTTATTAACGAGTTACGTAATTTGCTTATTTGTTTGAAATTCATTTTAATTAATTTGATTTTAATTACTTTGTTTAATTTATTTATTTGATATATTTCTTTTCTTTGTTGTTTAATTTGTTGGTTTGTTTATTTGGTTGTATGTATGTTTTAAATTCTCCCCTACAACGACCGTGTACAAAAAACAGGTTAAATTCTCCACCACAACGAACGTTACAAACATAGAACATCCATTAAAGATAACGATCAGCCACAGCTGTTACGTATCGACCCGCCCGCGAAGTTTTCTCACCGCTGCCCGTTTTAATGGGAATGTATTGATCGCAGCCGCTGGCCCATCACACCTAATTAAATTTTTGTTATGCTTCACCGAGTTTCCCCCGAGCGGTTGACAGGTTATGGTAATTAACGACGTACATTAAGTGCCTCTCCGTGAAGTACGTAGGTCATTATGCAACAGCTGTGTAATATCGATCGCATCCACTGACCATCACACCTAATTAAATTGGTCACGCATCGTAAGTGTAGCGACATCGGTAACTATTCGCTTATAGCGAGGTCAGCGAAAACCGATCGATTTGTCAGCTCCGTGAAGCCCTTAGGTAACAGCTGGTGCTGTAATTAGTCACGGCTCTCGGCTTTTTTCATTAGATTACAGCTGTCCATGAACTATGTTCACATATCGTACGCCCGGTCATTCTTTGATCAAATTAAAAATTTTTGTTTCCACATGTCCTACGAACCGTCCCTTGCTATGTATGAAAGATTAATGGTTGTAACTATTCGCTTATAGCGAGGGTCAGCGAAAACAAAATATATATTTAAGGGTTGGAATTTTCTTTCAACCACCGTTAAATCAGGTTTTGAGACGAAACGAAGTCTCGGTAGGTTCGTGTTTTTTTAACGGGCGACAGGACGACTTGGTGCGTTGGTACGTAGGTATGCGACCCAAACAACTCGTACCATGACCAACACTATTCCATTAAAGCGACATACGATGTATGACGACATAACAAACAACAAACGCGTAAAGACTAACAACCACAGTAACGTTAATTCACACACCACTATTTTTCCTGTAGACGACCTAGCCATGATACGTTATACATGTGACATATGTGAGCATGCATTCAACTGCAAACATGGTTTGAAACGACATCACGACTCTGTTCACCGCCGACAAGGACATCTCTGTACAACATGCGAGAATCTATTTACACGACTTGACAATTTAACAAGACATTGTAAAACAACACACACCAACCAAACATCACCGACCGACACCCCATCAGCAACCGATAGACAAACTCCACAACCACTATACGTGACCGACAGACAAACCATGCAACCCCTAGCAGCGATCCAAACAACTCGTACCATGACCAACACTATTCCATTAAAGCGACATACGATGTATGACGACATACCAAACAACAAACGCGTAAAGACTAACAACGACAGTAACGTTAATTCACACACCACTATTTTTCCTGTAGACGACCTACCCATGATACGTTATACATGTGACATATGTGAGCATGCATTCACCTGCAAACATGGTTTGAAACGACATCACGATACGGCACACAGACGACGAAGACATACATGTAGAGAATGTTTGCAAGAATTTACAAGAAAATATAATTTAACGAACCACTATAAAATACCACACACCATCAAAACATTACCAGACGACACATCAGCGACC